GAGCCGGCTGAAGTGGGGGTGTAAGGTAACAGAGCCGGTTCTGGAATCCCTCCGACGTAACGTTTTAATTCTTCATTTTTTTATAACATTTTAATTTTCATGGAGGTTTGGCTTTAATAGTTCTTCAACCACATCACATGAAACAACCAATGCATTTCGGGGGTCACACTCCCCACTTCCTTGATCAGGGTTACTGATGTAGCACTGATCAAGGGGGGATCTTGAGGACCCCAAGCAGAGTTGGCTTTTTCATGTGAAGTGGCTAAAGAAATATTAATGTATTTTGGACTCTGGATCTTGAGGCTCGGGCACTCTTGGATATTCCATATGCTTTGATTCTGGAAGTATATCAGATCATACAGTAAATATTCCATATGCTTGGCATCATTCCTTTGGTACCCATTGGACAGGAGCCTTGTTTTCTATGAGCTCAGTGAAGTAACATACACTACATTACTAAAAGTATTGGCCCCGCCCTCCATATCATGTGATTCAGGTGTTCCAATCCCCTCCATATCATGTGATTCAGGTGTTCCAATCCCTCCATGGACACAGGTGTATACAATCAAGCCCCTAGGCATGCAGAAACGGCTTCTACAAACATTGGTGAAAGAATGGGTCGCTCTCAGGAGCTCAGTGACTCCAAGCGTGGTCCCGTGATAGGTGGTCACCTGGGCAATAAGTCCCATCCGTGACATTTCCTGGCTACTAAATATTCCACGCTCAACTGTTAGTGGGATTATAACAAAGTGGAAGCCAACTGGGAACAACAGCCACTCAGCCACCAAAGTGGTAGGCCACGTCACATGACAGGGCGGGGTCAGCGCATGCTGAAGCGCACAGTGCGCAGGAGTCACCAACTGTCTGCAGAGTCAATAGCTAAAGACCTCCAAACTTGGTGTGGCCTTCAGATGAGCCCAACAACAGTGCGTAGAGAGCTTCATGGAATGGGTTTCCATGGCCGAGCAGCTGCATCCAAGCCTTCCATCACCAAGTGCAATGCAAAGCGTCGGATGCCGTGGTGTAAAGCACGCTGCCACTGGACTCTAGAGCAGTAGGAGACGTGTTCTCTGGAGTGAGCAATCACACTTCTCTGTCTGGCAATCCGATGGACATGTCCTGGGTTTGGTGGTGGCCAGGAGAACAGTACTTGCCTGACTGCATTGTGCCAAGTGTAAAGTTTGGTGGAGGGGGATTATGGTGTGGGGTGTTTTTCAGGGGTTGGGCTTGGCCCCCTAGTTCCCAATGAAGGGAACTCTTAAGGCGACATTTTGGACAATTTCATGCTCCCAACTTTGTGGGAAGAGTTTGGGGATGGCCCCTTCCTGCTCCAACATGACTGCCCACCCAGTGCACAAAAGCAAGGTCCATAAAGACATGGAGGAGCCAGTTTTGGGGTGGAGGAACTTGACTGTCCTGCACAGAGTCCTGACCTCAACCCCATAGAACACCTTTGGGATGAATAGAGCGGAGACTGCGAGCCAGGCCTCCTCCCCCGACATCAGTGCCTGACCTGACAAATGTGCTTCTGGAAGAAGGTCCAACCTTCCCATAGACACCCTCCCTAAACCTTGTGGACGGCCTTCCCAGAAGAGTTGAAGCTGTTTATAGCTGCAAAGGGCGGGGCCAACTCAATATGAACCCTACGGACTAAGACTGGGGGCCATTGAAGGTCATGTGTGTGGAAAGGGCGGGCCAACTCAATATTGAACCCTACGGACTAAGACTGGGAGGCCATTAAAGGTCATGTTGCGTGGGGAAAGGGCGGGGCCAACTCAATATTGAACCCTACGGACTAAGACTGGGGGGCCATTAAAGGTCATGTGCGTGGAAAGGGTGGGGCCAACTCAATATTGAACCCTACGGACTAAGACTGGGGGGCCATTAAAGGTCATGTGTGTGGAAAGGGCGGGGCCAACTCAATATTGAACCCTACGGACTGAAGACTGGGGGCCATTAAAGGTCATGTGTGGGGAAAGTGGGTGGGGCCAACTCAATATTGAACCTACGGACTGAGACTGGGGGGCCATTAAAGGTCATGTGTGTGCAAAGGGTGGGGCCAACTTAATATTGAACCCTACGGACTAAGACTGGGGGGCCATTAAAGGTCATGTGAGTGTGGGGGAAAGGGCGGAGCCAACTCAATATTGAACCCTACGGACTGAGACTGGAGGACGGCCATTAAAGGTCATGTGTTGTGCGTTGAAAAGGGTGTGGCCAACTCAATATTGAAACCTATGGACTAAGACTGGGGGCCATTAAAGGTCATGTGTGTGGAAAGGGCGGAGCCAACTCAATATTGAAACCCTACGGACTGAGACTGGGGGGCCATTAAAGGTCATGAGTGTGTGGAAAGGGTGGGGCCAACTTAATATTGAACCCTACGGACTAAGACTGGGGGGCTATTAAAGGTCATGTGCATGGAAAGGGGCGGGGGCCAACTCAATATTGAACCCCATGGACTAAGACTGGGGGGCCATTAAAGGTCATGTGTGTGGAAAAGGCCGGCAGCCCAATACTGCGGGTAATATAATGTGTATATATTGTACATTCATATCAGTCCCTAACCCTCAAAGAGCGTACAATCTAAGGTCCCTAAGGCTGGCCATACACTATACAATTTTCTGTCAATTTCTGCCCAATTTCCTTTAGATTTACCTTCAACTATGTAGTGCAAGATCCTGGCCTAATTGGATACAATTGAAAGTGTCGTGTGTGGAAAGGCCAGCAGCCCCAACTCGGGCAATATAGTGTTTTTCTCCTCAACTCCCAAAGACTAACTCTCTGAAATCTTAGCACCACTTGGATAAATCCTTCTGAAGACACGTAGACAAGGAACGTTCAGGAGTCCGAGGACGCCCCCTGATATGAATCTGGTTGGGGTCACCTCACTTTTTCATTCCTGTATGTCCTATAAGGCAGAATAAAGGAGAAACATTCTGGGGCTGAAGGATCTCTGGATTGTGGATGAGGACAATGAAATCATCTTTTGCCATCAATACTCGTACATTGGACCCTCAAAGGGACCACCAACGCCGAGTGTGCAGACGGAGATTGTACTGCAATCAGATAGCAGGTTTTAGGGTATTACCGCAGGATTTGCGTGAAGCAGCGACTTCAGGCTGAATAATCAACATATAATAAGTGAGAGGATGAAGTCACTCGCCGAGCCGCTACAAACCATACAATAGGAATTGTAGTCCAAATATCTAAACGTTATACTAAATCCCGAATTTATCTCGGATTGATCTCCACGTTCAGGTTTTAAATTGCCGCAATCTATGGATTCGGAAAATTGACCTCCACTTGTATAGAGGAAATATCGCTTTACGAAGACGTACTTTGGAGGATTATATTATGACAACGTTCAATTACCAGAATTTAAACTGCGGATTTTTGAGGAACTTAAAATTTCCCGACTGGATGCGATTGTATCAGATCGGTTTTTATATCCGGTTAGACACAATCCTCGGTATCTGAATGGTAAGGAACGTTTTCTAGGATGTATTGGAAATAATTTGTATATCTTATTGTAGCCATTATATTTGTTAGGTAAATGAATTGTACTGGTTTGGATCTCTGAACATCAGACTGTACTGCACAAGGTACTGGAGAGAACTACTACTGCCAGCAGACCCCCCCCCCCCCCCCCCACTACAAAACCTAACCACCCCACTTTCGCCCCGTGCAGAGACGTGTCGCCAACATTAAAGCTGAACTCCAAACAAACCACCAAATACACTCATATTGGAGATGTACTACTTGCCAGGATTTGTATTTCTGTCTCTCCAGTCCTGAGATTTACACAGCTCTGCCAAACAGCACGGGAGACCTGACTTTTCTCCTCTGTAGTTAAAGCAGAGCTCCACCCAAAAGGGGAAATTCCCACTTTAAGGACTGCTCCCCCACCTTTGGGGGGGGGGGGGAGTGGGTACCCGAATTTGACAGGTACCCGCTCCCACTTGCGGTCCGATCGCCCAGGCCAGGGCTTAAACTTTCTTGTCTAGACCTACTAGCCAGGCACAAACCTTACTCTTCACCAGTTGCCCCACCCAAACTTGCCCAGGGCCGCCTCCAACCCCACCCCTGACCCATCCCCCACCCCCCCAGCCCTGCCCCCCCAACCACGCCCCCTTAAATCTTATGAAATTACATTTTTCTTTAGAATAAAGAGTCCCCTGTGGCGGTGGACAGGGTGTCTTCCTCTCCTGCACCTGTCCCCTCAGCGGCGGTGCCGAAGAAACCAGAAGTGGGAAATCGGAACTCGGCTTCACAATGAGGCTTGGAGCGCAGCCGCTCCATCATCTGTGCTCGCCGCTCGAGAATTTCTCCTCGCATTTGGCGAGCGGCTTTTTCAAGCCCTGACCTAGGCAATCGGAAACGGAAGGTGTCCCCCCTCCCTCCCTCTAGTCTTTTGTCACATGACAGGTCCCAGAAGACTACAGGACCATTGATGAAGCTCAGCGCTTCTCGCGCATGCGCAGTGGGTACCCGTTTGTGAAGCCGCAAGCTGTCACAGCCGGGTGCCCACACTGAAGATGCCGGGACCTGGAATGCAGGACGGCCGGGTGAAACGGGCTGCGGGGGACACACCGCAGGACTGAGGGACAGGTAAGTGGCTGTTTTTTTAAAAGTCAGCAGCTACAGTTTTTGTAGATGCTGACTTTTATTTTTTGACAGGTGAGTGGAAACTCCGCTTTATGTAACACTTTCAGGTCTTGTGCCCTCCCCCAGCCTGCGATTGGGCAGTTAAAGAAGAAGCAGCAGACTCATGAGCTCACCTCCCCCATCGCTATGCTATCTACCGCTGTCAGCATGCCCTTTACACTGCAGTACAATGGCTCCCTGTCCAGCTTCTCCCTCTCCCGCTCTGAGCTCTGCTGCACAGGAGCTGACACTAGGTCAGATTTAGACACCGACATGAATGATGGGGAAACAGGAGACTTTTGTAACGTTTTGAGTTTCGCAATTTTTCTCAGGTTTACTGAATCAGCGCTTACCTTTAACTTGCTGCTCGGGGCCCCCGCGTGTGAGGGGCCACGCCAGGCATGCTGACATTGTTTCGGTGAATGTACTTTAAGAAGACCTCTGCATTTCTCCGGGCAAGTGTGCACGCCTGTGGAAGACATACCAATCCACAATCAGACAAATGAACGTTAGACAAAATTCTTAGTAAACCTTAAATTTTCACCCCCCCCCCCCCCCCAAACCTAACACCCCCCCCCCCCTCCCACAGACCCCCCCCCAAGTCTCCAAACTTTGTATTTTGAGACACAATTCTGTCTCGAAGATCTTTTTCATACAATGAAGTACCGGAAGGGGCCGCGGTGGGTACTGACCTTCAGGAAGGCTTCCTTCTGCTCCAGATGTTTGCTGATCAATGGCATGATGTGGTCCGTGTCGGACGCCGGCCCCAGCTTGTCGTGGCCCCGGCACCAGTCTTCATCTCTCCGGTATTCCTGCTCCAGGCTTTCCAGCACGCTGCACACCTGAGCCGAGACCCCAAAGTCACATGACACACAAACACGGAAAGAAAATGAATGCGCTATACAGATGCCTATCAAGGCGAGAACCGCCTGGTGTGAATAATTATTAATGAGTGATCTATACTCCGATCTACAGATAGAAGATACATACTACAGTAAAATGATACAAGGTATTTCCTACTAATTCTGTAAAGCGATACATTAAATACTCTTTCTAGGCGGCCTATCCTGGTTCTCAGCCGTCGGTCAATCAGCAATAGACACGTGCGGCTCGTTTCCTCTCAGAATCGAAATATGTACGAAATTGTCATTATTCAGAGATTCAGATGTATCCAAACTGTAACAAGTTTAACTCCTTACCTACCGGGCGCTGTCACCCCCTACCTGCCTACTGGGCGCTGTCACCCCCCTTCCTGCCTGCCGGGCACTTCTACCGCCTTCCTGCCTACAGGACACTTCTACCCCCTTCCTGCCTGCCGGGCACTTCTACCCCCTTCCTGCCTGCCGGGCACTTCTACCCCCCTTCCTGCCTACAGGGCACTTCTACTACCCCCTTCCTGCCTACAGGGCACTTCTACCCCCTTCCTGCCTACAGGGCACTTCTACCCCCTTCCTGCCTACCGGGCACTTCTACCCCCTTCCTGCCTGCCGGGCACTTCTACCCCCTTCCTGCCTACAGGGCACTTCTACCCCCTTCCTGCCTACAGGGCACTTCTACCCCCTTCCTGCCTACAGGCACTTCTACCCCCTTCCTGCCTACGGGCACTTCTACCCCCTTCCTGCCTACCGGGCACTTCTACCTCCTTCCTGCCTACGGGCACTTCTACCCCCTTCCTGCCTACAGGGCACTTCTACCCCCTTCCTGCCTACAGGGCACTTCTACCCCCTTCCTGCCTACAGGGCACTTCTACCCCCTTCCTGCCTACCGGGCACTTCTACCCCCTTCCTGCCTACCGGGCACTTCTACCTCCTTCCTGCCTACCGGGCACTTCTACCCCCTTCCTGCCTACCGGGGCACTTCTACCCCCCCTTCCGCCTACAGGGCACTTCTACCCCCTTCCTGCCTACAGGGCACTTCTACCTCCTTCCTGCCTACCGGGCACTTCTACCCCCCCTTCCTGCCTACAGGGCACTTCTACCCCCTTCCTGCCTACAGGGCACTTCTACCTCCCCTTCCTGCCTACCGGGCACTTCTACCCCCTTCCTGCCTACCGGGCACTTCTACCCCCTTCCTGCCTACAGGGCACTTCTACCCCCTTCCTGCCTACAGGGCACTTCTACCCCCTTCCTGCCTACCAGGGCACTTCTACCCCTTTCCTGCCTACCAGGCACTTTTTACCCCTTTCCTGCCTACCAGGCACTTCTACCCCCTTCCTGCCTACCGGATACTTCTACCCCCTTCCTGCCTACATGGCACTTCTACCCCCTTCCTGCCTACATGGCACTTCTACCCCCTTCCTGCCTACACCGGGCACTTCTACCCCCTTCCTGCCTACATGGCACTTCTACCCCCCTTCCTGCCTCCCGGGCACTTCTACCCCCTTCCTGCCTCCCGGGCACTTCTACCCCCTTCCCGCCTACAGGGCACTTCTACCCCTTCCCGCCTACTGGGCACTTCTACCCCCTTCCCGCCCACCGGGCACTTCTACCCCCTTCCTGCCTACGGGCACTTCTACCCCCTTCCCGCCTACTGGGCACTTCTACTACCCCCTTCCTGCCCACCGGGCGCTTCTACCCCCTTCCCGCCTACCGGGCGCTTCTACCCCCTTCCTGCCTACCAGGGCACTTCTACCCCTTCCTGCCTACCGGGCGCTTCTACCCCCTTCCTGCCTACCGGGCACTTCTACCCCCTTCCTGCCTACCGGGCACTTCTACCCCCTTCCTGCCTACCGGGCACTTCTACCCCCTTCCTGCCTACCGGGCACTTCTACCCCCTTCCTGCCTACCGGGCACTTTTACCCCCTTCCTGCCTACCGGATACTTCTACCCCCTTCCTGCCTACATGGCACTTCTACCCCCTTCCTGCCTACAGGGCACTTCTACCCCCTTCCTGCCGCCTCCCGGGCACTTCTACCCCCTTCCCGCCTACTGGGCACTTCTACCCCCTTCTAGCCTACTGGGCACTTCTCCCCCTTCCCGCCTACGGGGCACTTCTACCCCCTTCCCGCCTACTGGGCACTTCTACCCCTTCCCGCCTACCTGGGGGCACTTCTACCCCCTTCCTGCCTCCCGGGCACTTCTACCCCCTTCTAATCCGCCCACCGGGCACTTTAACCCCCTTCCTGCCTCCGGGCACTCTACCCCCCTTCCCGCCTACTGGGCACTTTACCCCCTTCCTGCCCACCGGGCACTTCTACCCCCTTCCCCTGCCTACCGGGCGCTTCTACCCCCCCCCCCTTCCCGCCTACCGGGCACTTCTACCCCTTCCTGCCTACCGGGCACTTCTTACACCCTTCCTGCCTACCGGGCGCTTCTACCCCCTTCCTGCCTACAGGGCACTTCTACCCCCTTCCTGCCTACAGGGCACTTCTATCCCCTTCCTGCCTACAGGGCACTTCTACCCCCTTCCTGCCTACAGGACACTTCTACCCCCTTCCTGCCTACCGGACACTTCTACCCCCTTCCTTCCTACAGGACACTTCTACCACCCCCTTCCTGCCTACCGGGCACTTCTACCCCCTTCCTGCCTACCGGGCACTTCTACCCCCTTCCTGCCTACCAGGCATTGCCACCCCCCTTCCTACCCAGGCCAATGTTCAGCTTTTAGCACTGTCGCACTTTGAGTGACAATTGCACGGTCATAAAACACTGTACCCGTATGAAATTTTTATCTTTTTTTTCACACAAATAGAGCTTTCTTTTGTTGGTAAGTACTCACCGCTGGGGGGTTTTATTTTTTGTGCTATTAACAAAAAAAGAGCAAAATTTTGAAAAAAAAAAATTTTTTTAGTTTTTATTATTATAAAATTTTGCAAACAGGTAATTTTTCTCCTTCACTGATGTGCGTTGATGAGGCTGCTCTGATAGGCAGCATTGATGGGCACTGATATGCAACAATGATCAGCACTGATATGCAACAATTATCGGCACCGATAGGTGGCACTGATAGGCAGCACTGATCTGCATCACTGGTGGGTGGCACTGACTGGCAGCACCGCTGGGCACTGATGGGTGGCACTGTTGGACACAGGTGGGCAGCACTAGTGGGTGGCACTGCTGGGCACCGATCATCAGGGCACTGATCATCAGTGCCCTGATGATCGGTGCCGATCCCTCCTCTGCCGGTTATCAGCAGTACTTTCCTCACGCTCTGACAGCGTGAGGAAAGTGCAGATGATAACCGGTATATGCATTTATTGGTGATCTGCTGTGTCACTGGACATGGCTGATCACGTGGTAAAAGGCTGCTGTGATTGGCCTTTTACCACCTCACGTGATCAGCTGTGTCCGTAGGATCCAAAAAAAGATCAATTGAGGCAGTTAGATGCCAATGATCGTCTGATATGTATTGCAGTTTGTGGCCTTAAACCATGGATACCCTCCTCTTGAGGGACCTTGGGTGAAGACCTGAGGAGTAGAATGAAAGGAGCACCAAAAAGGATCAATTGAGGCAGTTAGATGCCAATGATCTTCTGATATTTAGTACAGTTTGTGGCCTTAAACCAGGGATTCCCTCCTCTTGAGGGACCTTGGGTGAAGACCAAAGGTGTAGAACGAAAGAAGCACCAAAAATGATCAATTGATGAGGCAGTTAGATGCCAATGGTAGTCTGATATGTAGTGCAGTTTGTGGCCTTAAACCAGGGATACCCTCCTCTTGAGGGACCTTGGGTGAAGACCTGAGGAGTAGAATGAAAGGAGCACCAAAAAGGATCAATTGAGGCAGTTAGATGCCAATGATCTTCTGATATTTAGTACAGTTTGTGGCCTTAAACCAGGGGATTCCCTCCTCTTGAGGGACCTTGGGTGAAGACCAAAGGTGTAGAACGAAAGAAGCACCAAAAATGATCAATTGATGAGGCAGTTAGATGCCAATGGTAGTCTGATATGTAGTGCAGTTTGTGGCCTTAAACCAGGGATACCCTCCTCTTGAGGGACCTTGGGTGAAGACCTGAGGAGTAGAATGAAAGGAGCACCAAAAAGGATCAATTGAGGCAGTTAGATGCCAATGATCTTCTGATATTTAGTACAGTTTGTGGCCTTAAACCAGGGATTCCCTCCTCTTGAGGGACCTTGGGTGAAGACCAAAGGTGTAGAACGAAAGAAGCACCAAAAATGATCAATTGATGAGGCAGTTAGATGCCAATGGTAGTCTGATATGTAGTGCAGTTTGTGGCCTTAAACCAGGGATACCCTCCTCTTGAGGGACCTTGGGTGAAGACCTGAGGAGTAGAATGAAAGGAGCACCAAAAAGGATCAATTGAGGCAGTTAGATGCCAATGATCTTCTGATATTTAGTACAGTTTGTGGCCTTAAACCTGGGATTCCTTCCTCTTGAGGGACCTTGGGTGAAGACCAGAGGTGTAGAACAAAAGAAGCACCAAAAATGATCAATGGATGAGGCAGTTAGATGTCAGTGACCATTGTTTGTCACAAGTTGATTACCTCCAAAGCGTGTCGGTTATCAGCCTTTAATAAAAGGTGATGATTGCCATTTAATTGCCTCCTCGTTATTTCAAGGGTCCCGTAGTGTTAAATAGGCTAAACTAATTTATAATAATATTGATCTCCTCCAGAGACAGGAAGTCAGTCATGTGATGGGGGCAGAGAATAGTATTGGTACAATCAGGAATCACTTGAAAAAGGAGGCGGAGCTTCTGAAATACCCAGTGCCCACCCACGCCAAACCCCCCATCCCCAGGGCTCGCTCTGGATGTTGAGGATGGCTGCGGACACCGACCATGGGTTGTCATCTGGTGAGCCTGGCTCCTCATGCTGACAGCGGCTTACACAGTAATATATTACTGGATATCTAGGACTTATCTAATGAATCATGGATTTGGGGTGCCTCATTACAGCGTGTAGTTTTTCCAAATCTCCTCCCCCCCCATCTGTACAATAATGGCAGGAAGTCCAGGTGTGGTGCACCATTTAGGAACGGTTTTGGTGCACTGATGTCAGCTATTCAAAGAGCTAAAAAAAAACACAAGGCCAGGAGGAAGACCACAAACTGCCTCCAAAGCCTTCCAAAGCCCTAAACTGAAATGCCTGGAATAACATAAGCACAGTAGTGCCTGAGTGTTGCCTCCTCACATGCAGCAAAGTCCGTGTGACCTGCAAGGAGCGCTAACCTGCTCTGAAGTTTTGTAGAACGCCACGGAAGCATTGACCAGCTTCAGCCTGTCCTCCATCTTCAGCATGAGCTGCTGCCAGTGCATGGCCACCTTCTCGGCACACTCCCGGATGGCATCGGCATCGTAATGTCCAGCCTGTAACAAGGCCTCGGCCTTCTGCTGGACCTGCAGGGCACTCTGGTGGGTTTTCTGCAGAGAACTGGCATTGAACAGGGACTGTGAGGAGGAACATGGGGGGGGGGGGGCGTTGGGAGAAGAGAATATGGGGAGTGAGAACAATATACAGGTGGACATTATAACTCTCACCTGACTGCTCTATAGTAGGATATACACATACACTGCATAAGAGGCATTTCATCTCTACTATGAAAGATTAAAAAGAAGCTTCTAAATGTCTCTCTACTGACAGGAACGGCTGAAAGGTGAAAAAAAAATGAAAGTTTAACAGATGTTCTGAATCTAGGACACAGAATGTTCAATTATTCATCACAGATCCTCAATTCAGGTGTCTACAGTACAGAAGAAACGGGATTTTGTGTATGAATACAACATGCCAGGTCAATATGGACTATATGGCCAAATGCCTGTAGACACCCGACCGTCACATCTACTGTATGTGGGCTGATTGGACGTCCCATTCCAAAAAAAAAAAAAAAAAAAATTAATGAAAGGTTTTGACAACCCCACCCAAAGCCATTAATATGGAGTTGCCCCCTTTGTGGCTATAACATCCTCCACTTTTCTGAAAAGGCTTTCCAAAAGATTTCAGAGGGTGTCTGGGGAATTTTTGTCCAATTGTGAAGTCCGGTACGGAAGACCAGACACATATGTTGTGCCCCACGTTGGGTGCCATAGAAAGGCCTGGCTTGCCATTGGCATTCCAATTCATCCCAAGGGTGTTCAGTAGGGTTGAGATCAGGACATTATATGGGACACTGAAGTTCCTTGACACCAAACTGGTCAAACCATGTCTTTATCAATCTGGATATGTTATTTCACAAACATGGTCTTTTATACGTAGTTCCCTCTCTTCTCCTATGGCCATTAGTATAGAGATGCCCACCTTCTGGTAAGGCTTCCCACAAGATATTGGAGTGTGTCTGTGAGAATGTGTGCTCATTTGTGAGGTCAGTTACTGATGTTGGTCGAGAAGACCTGACTCACATGTTAGATGCCAAAAAAGACTTGGCTCAAAATCGGCCTTCCAATTCATCCCAAAGCTGTCTAGCAGGGTTGAAGTCAGAGCTCTATGCAGGACTTTTGAATTCCTCCACACCAATCTGGTCAATGTCTTTATGGAGCTGGCTTTGTGGACACCTGACCATCATACCTGTACAAGCTTGTTGGGCATCCCATTTCAAAACCACTTAATGGCCAATATTATGGAGTTGCCATTCCCCCTTACCCTCCCATATTGTGGCCATTACATCCTCCACTCTTCTAGGAAGGTTTCCCACAAGATTTCGGAGAGTGTCTGTGGGATCTTGTGGCCATTTGTGGGGTCGGGTACTGATAATGGAAGAGAAGACCTGGCTCAGATGTTGGGTGCTAAAAAAAAACTGTCTCAAAATTGGCTTTCTAATTCACCCCAAAGGTGTTTAGTAGGGTTGAGCTCCGTGCAGGACACTGAGGTTCCTCCACATCAAAGTGGTCATCCATGTCTTTTTAGAGCTGGCTTTGTACACAGGGGACAGTCATGGTGGAACAGAAAAGGGTCATCACCAAACTGTTAACACAAGGTTAGAAGAGCACAATTGTCTACAATGTTTTTGTATGATGGTGTATTACCAGGACTCATCACTGGAGACACCTGAACTCCATCATTGGAAGAGGGAGGGGGTTCACGTACTTTTGGCCATATAGTGCATCTTGTGTGATCAGTAACCACCAAGCTTGTTTAGCAAAATCTCACAATTTGCGAGGCTTCTGAGGGTCTGCAAGGTGCCATCACTAAATCACAGCTTGCTGCCGCTCTTCTGGCATTCATTACACCAACTTTTTCATACTTTACAATTTTGTTTCCGATTTCTACAGTAAGCTCCCCAATCTCCTCTTCCTGGCCCCTACACCCCTCAGCATGGGTAGGGTGCTGCTTTACAGAGACACCGGCTGATGGTCACCCACCGGCCATTTCTGCAACACCAGTGAAATGACCCGTCACCCCATCTGGGTAAACCAGGAAAGGGATCAGTTGGCTTCTCACCCCACACCATCGTGCAAGAAGGATGTTTGAAAAATGACATTCTTTGTCAGACACACACAATACATTCCAACACAACAGTTCCCATTCAGAAAAACTAAATGAATATATCCAGCCTCCCCTCCCCCCCCCCCCATACACATGGCAGCAGGAACCCCGGGATAGTCACCTCAATGGCCATCTGGAACTGTTCATGTTCTCTCTGCAGCTGCTCCGCCTCCGACAATGAGCTGGCGTTAACAAGGCTGGCGTTCAGCATGGACTCCCCATTGCGGATCCAGCCCAGCACCTGGAAGAAGAGACAAGCTCCTAGTGAGATAATGAGAGCGATGGGTGACGGATTATCCTGGCACACAACCCCAGGGGAGGGGAAGCCTGAGAGTGGGCATCTCAAAAGTGCTCCATACTATTCTACATCACAATAGAGAGGCTATTAAAGGTGAACTCCGGGCAAACAGATATAAAAGAACATTACCCGTAAAAGGATTTGTATTTTTGTCTGTCCCGTCCTGATATTTACACAGCTCTGCCACACAGCAAAGCCATTACTCGTTGCAGGACTTGTCCGCCCCTCCCAGCTTGTGATTGGATAGTGAAAAGAGAAGGAACAGACTGATGAAGTGCAGGACTCTTAGCGGGGGTTTCCTGCTATTACCTGCAGACAGGAAGTCCCACTGAAAGCGATGACAAGTCCTGCAGATATTCATGGCTCTGTTCACTCATGGAGTGAATACCTGCAAAATGATCGGCTCTGGAGGCATCTGTGGGTTCCTCTCCTTCACCTGTGTTCCACCATTCTGTACAAGCTCCAGTATGAGCATCCGAAGCATCCAGTCTGACCATGAACCATGCCAGGACCTGCTGTAGGCACCCCTGCCACTCCTCGTCCTTCTACACCCAGTCACCCACCGTAGGGAGCAACATATAGGAAATGTAAGGGAAACCCTCCCACCAGCACAGTCCCTGACAGGTTCACTACAATAAAGTGGAAAGACCACACTGCACCCGTAGGGATTTCTTTCTGGTATTGCTGTAAATGATCTGGGTCCCGGCCAGGCGGCATCTACATCCCAGAGCTGGGGTCACCAAAGACCACGCTGGACCCGTTAGGGTTATCTTGCTGGTACTGCTGTAAATGATCTGGGTTCCAGCCAGACGGAATCTACACCCCAGAGCTGAGGTCTCCAAAGACCACGCTGGACCCGTAGGGATTTCTTTCTGGTATTGCTGTAAATGACCTGGGTCCCGGCCAAGTGGCATCTACATCCCAGAGCAGGGGTCACCAAAGACCATGCTGGACCCGTAGTGATATCTTGCTGGTATTGCTGTAAATGATCTGAGTCCCGGCCAGGCGGCATCTACACCCCAGAGCTGGGGTCACCAAAGACCACGCTGGACCCGTAGTGATATCTTGCTGGTATTGCTGTAAATGATCTGGGTTCCAGCCAGACGGAATCCACACCCCAGAGCTGGGGTCTCCAAAGACCACGCTGGACCCGTAGGGTTATCTTGCTGGTATTGCTGTAAATGATCTGAGTCCCGGCCAGGCGGCATCTACACCCCAGAGCTGGGGTCACCAAAGACCACGCTGGACCCGTAGGGATATCTTGCTGGTATTGCTGTAAATGATCTGAGTCCCGGCCAGGCGGCATCTACACCCCCCAGAGCAGGGGTCACCAAAGACCATGCTGGACCTGTAGTGACATCTTGCTGGTATTGCTGTAAATGATCTGGGTTCCAGCCAGACAGAATCCACACCCCAGAGCAGGGGTCACCAAAGACCACGCTGGACCCGTAGGGATATCTTGCTGGTACTGCTGTAAATGATCTGGGTTCCAGCCAGACGGAATCCTACACCCCAGAGCTGGGGTCTCCAAAGACTGCGCTGGACCCGTAGGGTTATCTTGCTGGTATTGCTGTAAATGACCTGGGTCCCGGCCAAGTGGCATCTACACCCCAGAGCAGGGGTCTCCAAACATTTCAAACAAAGGGTCAATATACTGTCCATCAGACTTTAGGAGTGCCCGTTTAGGGCCAGTGAGGATAGAAAATGTCCTGGACCCAGCAACAGTGAGAATAAACATGGCCTCAGGGTTGTTGGTCAGTAGGAGGAGGAGTAGTGCCCAACTGTTGGTATTAGTGGGAAGAATAGTACACCATCACTGGTTTCATGGGAAGAAGTATTGTCCCATTGTTGGTCTCAGTGGGAGGAATAGTGCCCCAAGGGCCAGATAAAGGGTAGCAAGTGCCACATCCGGCCCTCGGGCCGCAGTTTGGAGACTCCTGCCCCAGGGGATCTCCACAATCTACTTGGCTTGTAGTGTAATGAAAAGGGAAATTAAATTGAAGCACCAAATCACTGCTAAGAGGTCCAGATACAACTTTATTAAAAGTCAGGAATAAAAAAAAAAAAAAGTACCCAACGTGTTTCGGCGCAGGCCTTTCCCGCATCTTGTTTTGGCAGCCAACCCTAACCCTAAGGATGACAAACAAACTGCTGAAAAGATCCGTGCTTGTAATGTACACTGGAAAAAATATCATTGTAGGTCCAGTTCACTTCTGGTTTGTTCACATTTTTATCAGTCAAGCCCTGATGAAGGGGGTGCCTTTGGACCCCCGAAATGCGTTGGACAATTTTTGGATTGTACTTTCACTTTTTAATGGAATAAAGTTGTATCTGAACCTCTTCGCAGTGGTGTGGCGCTTCGATTTCAATTCTTGCTAAATTACTCTCCCGGGTACATAACGGATTGGATACTTGTTCTGCTCCTCCCCCAAAACCGAGCCCTGCTGTATAGGGACGGACATCAGGTTATACTCACACTGCACTTACCAAAATATAATTAACAACTAATTAAAGTGTTCTAAAGTCAAAGCATCTTTTACCTTAATGCATTCACTGTATTTATGTAAACACCCCACTACCTGTCCCATCCCCCCCCACCCCCGCCTTCTCCTGTCACTGCTCCAATGCTCAGGGCTGTCTTAAAGAACGGGCACATGGGCAATAAGGGGGGGGGGGGGGGAGTTGCACTGGTGATTTGGCCAATTGTGCTGATCTTCTTTGACAGGAGTACTTGCAATATCACTCCTGTCAGAAGAAGCAGCGGCTGGAAGATGCTGGAAAGAGGATTCAGCTTTCTCCTCCCTCCTGAAGGGGGCAGAAGAGAGCCCACACTGAGAATGAGAACACAGCTCTGATGGGTGGGGACACTTGATGGATGAGGACACTGTGATGGGGACACCTGATGGAAGAGGACTCTGTGATGGAGACACCTGATGGAAGAGGACACTGTGATGGAGACACCTGATGGAAGAGGACACTGTGATGGGGACACCTAAAGGATGGGGACACACTGATGGGGACACCTGATGGAAGAGGACACTGTGATGGGGACACCTGATGGAAGAGGACACTGTGATGGGGACACCTGATGGAAGAGGACACTGTGATGGGGACACCTGATGTATGGGGACATTGTGATGGGGACACCTGATGGATGAGAACGCAGTGATGCAGAAACCTGATGGATGAAGACACTGTGAAGGGGACACCTTTTTAAAAGGACACTGTGATGGAGGAATCTGTTGTATGGAGAGACTGTGATGGGGACACCTGATGTAAGGGAACACTATGATGAGACACCTGATGGATGGGGACACCTGATGGATGGGGACACCTGATGGATGGGGACACCTGATGGATAAGAAGACCTGATGTATGGGGACACCTGATGGATGAGGACATACTGATGCAGAAACCTGATGGATGCAGACACCTGATGGATGAGGACACTGAAGGGGAAACCTGATGTAAGGGGACACTGTGATGGAGGAACCTGATGTATGGAGACTCTGTGAAGGGACACCTGATGGATGGGGACACCTGATGTAAGGGGACACTATGATGGGACACCATGATGGGTGGGGACACCGGATGTAAGGGGCCACTGTGACAGGACACCTGATGGATGAGGGCACTGTGATGAGGGGACACCTGATGTAAGGAGGCACTGTGATGGGGACACATGATGGAGGCTGGTAGGGGCCCCAATGCATTACTTTTCCCAGGGGCCCATGATGCTATTAAGAAGGCACTGCCAGAGCCGTCTCAGCTCTGGCCCCGCTCCTTTCACTTCCTGGTCCCACAGGAAACGCTGAGAGCAGTGGAAGCCGTAGTCTCCTGCTGCTGCTGTCAGTCAAACTCCTGTGAGGAGTGATCAAAGGCGTGGCTTACCAGAGGGGGACAATGTTGCACAGAGCAGGTAAGTATCACATCTTTTAACATTTTTAATTAAATACAGTACAAAGTATCATTTTGTGGTATATACAGGTAATTTTTATGGGTTTTTTTTTTTTAAATAAAGAAATGCCATAAAATGTAGAAGACATAAGGAATAATTGACATTTTCCGCACACATGGAGCGTTTCCCGCACATCAGTTCATTTCATTGTTCGGATGTATGATTTCCATCAGCACTGCTCTACATTATACAGATGGAACCTTTACAGAATATAAAGCCATTAAATGTGAACATATGTCAGCACAGACATCACAGCAACAGCACAAATTTGACATCATTTCGGTCTTCTGCATATTTTAGCAAAGCGCTGGATAGACGATACTTAAATACCGTTTTCTGGTCTAATGCGGTCACCATAGAAGGTCTGAGCTGGATTGATAAAGTAGGTGCTCTGCCTTGAAAAATGTGTTGTACTATGAATTATAATCGACTGTTCGTACTGGTCATTGCCGCTGCCACTTATAAACACAGAAGGTAGCAGGGGAAGTCTTCCGCTTCTCACTTCTGACCCGGAAAGATCCGGGAACTCGGCACAGGGATGGTGGGAACCCCTCATAATGTGCACAGCGGGTGTTCAGACCCGGGAACTCGGCACAGGGATGGTGGGAACCCCTCATGATGGGCACAGCAGGTGTACAGACCCGGGCACTCAGCGCAGGGATGGTGGGAACCCCTCATCATGGGCACAGCGGGTGTAAAGACCCGGGAACTCAGAGTAGGGACAAAGGTTGAGAGGCTGAAGAATCTGTTGGGTGGTATAACTCTCCAGCATTCACCAAAAACTGAAACATACATTTTCGATGTACAGGAAAAACACCGGAGCAGAATACCATGCACCACCCTCTCCTGCCCCCACTGTTTCCCTACACAGCTGGGTTGAGGGGTAGGCAGAGGAGGCGGCCACAATGGGTGCTTTAAAAAAAGGGGACGCAAGAAGGGCAGAACCTGCAACCTATACTATTGGGTAGTTCACGGCTCATTGGGGGAGGGGACACATTGTGACCTTTTCTCCTTGGATGCCAATTACATTGTCCCAGCAATGGTCCTTCACCCTACGTCCCCCCACCACAGAACATGGACATCCCAGAGAGGTCCCCCACATCCCATCCTCCATCTCCTGATATTATTATAGAGGACACACTTCGTCCTCCATACGTCTGGCAGAATCTCGCCATGTAACCAGACACGGGAAGCGGAGGCCGGGCCGGCAGGTGCAGCACGCCGCGCTCTTATTAGAAGAACAAATGGTGCCGCGGACGCAGGTCATTCCAATTTCCCTTAAACAAAGATTCCAATTTCAATATTTCAGGCTCAGTCGGCACTTGTAAGAAGGATCCCGGCCTGACAGGATTAGATTGTATTTCTATCTGCAGCAGGACAGCGAGGACGGCGATTCCAGAAATAATCATTCCAAGATGTTCCTATAAAAGGATAGAAGACGCATCCTCCCATCCCCCACCCTGTATACATGGTTCATCCACAGGGGGACAGTGACATACAAACTTTCCACTTCTGTTTTGAATTGTATTTTGTATCACTCTTCATTACTATTCCCCCTTCCTGATCCTTCTCCCTTTCCTCTTCCTTCCCCATCTTTCCCCTTCCTTCCCTCCTTCCCCATCTTTGCCCTTCCTTCCCTCCCCCTTCCTTCCCCATCTTTCCTCTTCCTCCCCTCTTGCCTCTTCCTTCCCCCTCCTTCCCCATATTTCCTCTTCTCTTCCTCTTCCTCCATCCCCATCTTTCCTCTTCCTTCTCTCCTTCCCCATCGTTCCTCTTCCTTTCCCTCCTTCCCCATCGTTCCTCTTCCTTTCCTTCCCCATCTTGCCTCTTCCTTCCCTCCTTCCCCATCTTGCCTCTTCCTTCTCCATCTTTCCTCTTCCTTCCCTCCTTCCCCATCTTTCCTCCTCCTTCCCCTTCCTTTCCTCCTTCCTCTTCCTTCCCATCTTGCCTCTTCCTTACCCATCTTTCCTTTTTCTTCCCTCTTTCCCATCTTTCCTCCTCCTTCTCTCCTTCCCCATCTTTCCTATTCGTTCCCTCCTACCTCTTCCTTCCCCATCTTTCCTCTTCGTTCCCTCCTACCTCTTCCTTCACCATCTTTCCTCTTCCTTCCCTTTTCCTTGTCCTCTTCCTTTCCTCATCCTTCCTCAACCTACTCCCCATCCCCCTTCCCTGTCCTTTATCGTCCCTCTCCTTAGTCATCCAACTCCCCTTTCTCATCCTGCTCCGAATCCCTGTCCTGTTCCCCTTCCTCATCCTTTTCCCCTTCCTCCTTTACCCTCTACTTCCTTATCCTTTTCCATTTTCTTGTCCTCTTCTTCCCTTCCTCATCCCCCCCCCCCCCTTTATCCTTAATCATCCTTGTCCTCTTACCTGTTCTTACCCCTTCCTCATCTTCTCCTTCCTCATCCTTCTCCCTTTCTTCCTTACTCATCCTTCTAATCTTCCCTGTCCTCCCACCCCCCCTTTCTTGTCCTCTTTTTTTCCTTGTCGTTCTTCCCTTCCCCCTTCCTTGTCCTCCCTCATCTTTTCTCTTTTCCTCTGCCCAGTTCCTTTCCTTGTCTTTCTCTCTTTCCTCATCCTACTCCTCATCCCCATCTCCTTCCTCTCCCTCTCACTTTCCTCATCCCCCATCTCTTCCTTCCTCCTCCTCTCACTCTTCCTCATCCCCCATCTCCTTCCTCATTCTTCCCTTCTTCCTAATCCATCTCTCCTTTCTCATGGTTTTCTCCTTGCCCATCTTTTTCCCTTCACCTTCCTCATCCCTCTCCCCTTCCTCATCCCTCCTGTCTTCCTAATCCTTCTCACCTTCCTCATTTCCTCCTTGTCCATGCTTTTCCCTTTTCTCATCCCTCTCCTCTTCCTCATTCTTCCTCATAGTTTCCTCCTTGCCCATCCTTTTCCCTTTACTCATCCCTCTCCCCTTCCTTCCTCCTCCTTCCTTTCTTCCTAATGCGTCTCACCTTCCTCATCGTGTCCTCCTTGCCCATCCTTTTCCCTTTCCTCATCCCCTTTCTCATCTCTCTCTCCCCTTCCTCATAGTTTCCTCCTTGCCCATCCTTTTCCCTTTACTCATCCCTCTCCCCTTCCTCCTCCTTCCTTTCTTCCTAATGCGTCTCAACTTCCTCATCGTGTCCTCCTTGCCCAGCCTTTTCCCTTTCCTCATCCCTCTCCTCATCCCTCCTTTCTTCCTAACCCTTCTCACCTTCCTCATCGTTTCCTCCTTGCCCATCCTTTTCCCTTTCCTCATCCTTATCCCCTTTTCTCATCTCTCTCCCCTTCCTCATTCTTCCTAATCCTTCTTACCTTCCTCATAGTTTCCTCCTTGCCCATCCTTTTCCCTTTCTTCATCCCCCTCTCCCCACCCCTCCTGTCTTCCTAATCCTTCTCACCTTCCTCGTCGTTTTCCTCCTTGCCCATCTTTCTCTCCCTTTTTTTTCATTTGTCTCCCCTTCCTCATTCTTCCCCCCTTCCTCATCCTTTCCCCCTTCCTCGTCCCTCTCCCCTTCCTTACAAAGTATATATTGGACAAAGAAATCTACACAGCGTTTTACATCCAGCCAGATCCCATTAATGTGAGGAGAGGAGATTGTCCCTGAAGGACTATTTATAGAACTCCTCAGACTTCCCTTTTTCTGAAAATAGAACTCTAGGCAAAACTTTCTTTCATTTTCGATAGAGTAAAGGAGGGTTAGAACTCCTCAGATATTTTTTTTTTTGCTCTCTGTGTCCCATTGGAGAGATTTTCCTTCACTTAGGGTAGAGATGATGGGATGGTGAGAGGAAATCCCTGCAAATTAAGGGAATTCCTTGGGGACCCCCCCCAGGTCATCAGAACTAGTGTCCCCATTGGAAGATTTCCCCTGTATTACCTTTCTGGGGACAACCCAAAATTTGGGATTTTCTTTCACTTTCAATAGGACAAATAGGGGGTGAATCTCCCTAACGGGGACACAGACAGCAATACACACCTGACAGGGGCTCTAATCCATCTCCAAAACAAAAGTTTGCTAGCTGTACTTCTGGAATTGTAGAATTGTTGTGATCGGAAGCAGAGGGGCCAATAATACTTCTGCTCTCAATATATACATGTGCTTTAAATTTGTTTTTAATGAATCTAAAGACGATGAGGTCGGATGTTCTCACCACTCGATTTTTTTGGACCCGGCTCGCTGTAACAAGCAACATAAGATCTTTGCATGCGTTCAGAGAAGACTCTTCTGTTGTAACACAACGCTTTTTCCTATGGCTCCCAAAGGGCCACTAAACACAACTTAAATAGATTTTAAAGGGTATGTCTGGCCAAAAAAAAAAAAAAAATCTGTACTTTTCTGCAAAAGACACACATTTCCTCATGTTTTGTCTCTTAAAGCTGAGCTCCAGGTACAAAGTAGCCACAAAGGATACAAATCCACTTTTGTGTCCACCATATTCCTCTCCAAACCAGATATAACTTTGTAAAAGTAGCTGTGATAACATCCCTGTGCTGTCCATATCCCGGAGTTCAGCTTTAAATACACAAGTACAGAGAGATACCACTTCATTTGTCAGATATTCAGTGAGCTCCTAACTTCCTGTGCTGAGCTGACAACAGAACCTAAGATGCACTGAAATTCCAAGCAGTGTTGTCAGCCCAGTACATTTCTCCCCTCCTGGACTAGAGAACTCCTCCCTCTGTTCTCATCTTTATAACCCTTTCCACTCTTCTACATAAACCAAGGAGACAGGGGCGGACTGACAACTCATGGGGCCCCCGGGCAATAGGGGATCATGGGGCCCCTGTGTCCTTGCCCAAACTCAAAAAAGCCTATGAAAAAGGTACCAGGGGCATCTCATAGGGGCCCCTACTGACCCCGGGCCCTCGGGCAATGCCCGAGTTTCCAAATGGTCAGTCGGCCCCTGCAAGGAGAGGGGTTCTGAAGTCCCGCAGTACTGGGAGGGATAGACAATGTTTCTTGGACACACTTGTGTGTTGTTAGAAGTGTAAAATCATTTTGAATTTTAGGTTGTGAAGGAATTCTGAGAGTCGGCACACAGCAGGGTGAAAGAAATGTTCTGCTTACCTGCTTGACCTCAGCCTGGAGGTGGCGGAGCTGCAGACATTGTTCCAGGCGCTTGTGAGTCTGATCTGCATTCAGGTCCAGTTCATGCTGCTTCTCGTGGAGGAACTCCAACAACTCCTGAACCTGGGTGGCCAGGTCTATGTCCTTCTCACAGATCAGCTCGATTCCTAAAGAGACAAAAAAAGAACGTCCATCCATGGAGGTCATCAGATACTACAGCTTCCAAAAGTCCCACCATCTCTACAGCATCATGTCCTATCACCACCCATTAAAATTAGAGACCATCCATGGAAGTCATCTGATCCTGGAGATTCCCTAATGTCCCACCATCTTTAAAGCATTATGTCCTATTACCATCCACTAGGAATATAGTCCATCCATGAAGATAACCAGACCCTACAGCTTCCACAAGTCCCTCCATCTCTAGAGCATTATGTCCTATCACCATCCATTAGGGGTATAGTCCATTAATGGAGGTCACAAAATCCTACAGCTTCCATAAGGTCCCACCATCTCTACAGCATTATGTCCTAATACCATCTATTAGGGGTATAAGTCCATCCATGGAGGTCATAAGGTCCTACAGCTTTCATAAGCTCCATCATCTCTGCAGCATTAAGTCCTATCGCCACCCATTAGGTGTATAGACCATCCATGGAAGTCACCAGATCCTACAGCTTCCATAAGGTCCCACCATCTCTACAACATTATGTCCTATTACCATCTATTAGGGGTATAGTCCATCCATGGAGGTCATAAGGTCCTACAGCTTCCATAAGGTCCTACAGCTTCCATAAGGTCTATCATTTCCACAGCATTAAGTCCTATCACCACCCATTAGGGGTATAGACCATCCATGGAAGTCACCAGAGCCTACAGCTTCCATAAGGTCCCACCATCTCTACAGAATTATGTCCTATTACCATCTATTAGGGGTATAGTCCATCCATGGAGGTCATAAGGAGCTACAGCTTCCATAAGGTCCATCATTTCTACAGCATTAAGTCCTATCGCACCCCATTAGGTGTATAGACCATCCATGGAAGTCACCAGATCCTACAGCTCCCATAAGGTCCCACCATCTCTACAGTGTTATGTCCTATCACCACCCATTAGGGTATAGTCCATTCATGGAGGTCATAGGTCCTACAGCTTCCATAAGGTCCTACAGCTTCCATAAGGTCTATCATCTCTACAGCATAAAGTCCTATCGCCACCCTTTAGGGGTATAGACCATCCATGGAGGTAACCAGATCCTACAGCTTCCATAAGGTCCCACCATCTCTACAGAATTATGTCCTATTACCATCTATTAGGGGTATAGTCCATCCATGGAGGTCATAAGGAGCTACAGCTTCCATAAGGTCCATCATCTCTACAGCATTAAGTCCTATCGCACCCATTAGGTGTATAGACCATCCATGGAAGTCACCAGATCCTACAGCTCCCATAAGGTCCCACCATCTCTACAGTGTTATGTCCTATCACCACCCATTAGGGTATAGTCCATTCATGGAGAGGTCATAGGTCCTACAGCTTCCATAAGGTCCTACAGCTTCCATAAGGTCTATCATCTCTACAGCATAAAGTCCTATCGCCACCCTTTAGGGGTATAGACCATCCATGGAGGTAACCAGATCCTACAGCTTCCATAAGGTCCCACCATCTCTATAGCATTATGTCCTATTACCATCCATTAGGGGTATAGTCCATCCATGGAGGTCATAGGGTCCTGCAGCTTCCATAAGGTCCATCATCTCTACAGCATTAAGTCCTATCACCACCCATTAGGGGTATAGTCCATTCATAGAGGTCACCAGATCCTACAGCTCCCATAAGGTCCCACCATCTCTACAGTGTTATGTCCTATCACCACCCATTAGGGTATAGTCCATTCATGGAGGTCATAAGGTCCTACAGCTTCCATAAGGTCCTACAGCTTCCATAAGGTCTATCATCTCTACAGCATAAAGTCCTATCGCCACCCATTAGGGGTATAGACCATCCATGGAGGTAACCAGATCCTACAGCTTCCATAAGGTCCATCATCTCTACAGCATTAAGTCCTATTACCATCCATTAGGGGTATAGTCCATCCATGGAGGTCATAAGGTCCTACAGCTTCCATAAGGTCCATCATCTCTACAGCATTAAGTCCTATCACCACCCATTAGGGGTATAGTCCATTCATAGAGGTCACCAGATCCTACAGCGTCCATAAGGTCCATCACCTCTACAGCATTAAGTCCTATCACCACCCATTAGGGGTATAGTCCATTCATGGCGGTCACCAGATCCTACAGCGTCCATAAGGTCCATCACCTCTACAGCATTAAGTCCTATCACCACCCATTAGGGGTATAGTCCATTCATGGAGGTCACCAGATCCTACAGCTTCCATAAAGTCCCACCATCTCTACAGCGTTGCGTCCAATCATCACCCAATAGCGTTAAGAGTCAGAACTGAGGTTTGACTGAAGCTGGACTTAGAAGTAATGGGAGGGGTAGAGTTAATGTTACAAGAGGGTTAGGGGTAAGAGTTTTTGTTAAGGTTTGAATTGGGCAGAGCTTAGAGATTTAGAGTTCCAGTTAGGGGGTAAAGTCCAGGATTTGGATACTGCTGGGGCTCACACTATGTATAAGGGTAAGAGGTAAAGGATTAGTGTTTAGTTAGGGGTGGAGTTAAGGTCGTGGTTTAAAAGGTATCTTAAGATGTTCATAATGTATGAATAAGAGGTACAATAAGGTCTAGCATTAGAGTTTAGGATTATATTTAGGATTGACATTGCGGTTAAACGTTTGATAAGTGTTAAATTTAGGGCTAGAACTGGAGACGGGAGGTAGTTTAGGGCTAGAACTGGAGACGGGAGGTTGTTTAGGGCTAGAACTGGAGACGGGAGGTAGTTTAGGGATAGAACTGGAGACGGGAGGTAGTTTAGGGATAGAACTGGAGACGGGAGGTAGTTGGATAGGGATAGAACTGGAGACGGGAGGTAGTTTAGGGCTAGAACTGGAGACGGGAGGTAGTTTAGGGATAGAACTGGAGACGGGAGGTTGTTTAGGGCTAGAACTGGAGACGGGAGGTAGTTTAGGGCTAGAACTGGAGACGGGAGGTAGTTTAGGGCTAGAACTGGAGACGGGAGGTAGTTTAGGGCTAGAACTGGAGACGGGAGGTAGTTTAGGGATAGAACTGGAGACGGGAGGTAGTTTAGGGATAGAACTGGAGACGGGAGGTAGTTTAGGGCTAGAACTGGAGACGGGAGGAAGTTTAGGGCTAGAACTGGAGACGGGAGGTAGTTTAGGGCTAGAACTGGAGACGGGAGGTAGTTTAGGGCTAGAACTGGAGACGGGAGGTTGTTTAGGGCTAGAACTGGAGACGGGAGGTAGTTTAGGGATAGAACTGGAGACGGGAGGTAGTTTAGGGCTACAACTGGAGACGGGAGGTAGTTTAGGGCTACAACTGGAGACGGGAGGTAGTTTAGGGCTACAACTGGAGACGGGAGGTAGTTTAGGGCTACAACTGGAGACGGGAGGTAGTTTAGGGCTACAACTGGAGACGGGAGGAAGTTTAGGGCTAGAACTGGAGACGGGAGGTAGTTTAGGGCTAGAACTGGAGACGGGAGGCAGTTTAGGGATAGAACTGGAGAAGGTAGTTTAGGGCTAGAACTGGAGACGGGAGGTAGTTTAGGGATAGAACTGGAGACGGGAGGTAGTTTAGGGATAGAACTGGAGACGGGAGGTAGTTTAGGGATAGAACTGGAGACGGGAGGTAATTTAGGGATAGAACTGGAGACGGGAGGTAGTTTAGGGCTAGAACTGGAGACGGGAGGTAGTTTAGGGCTAGAACTGGAGACGGGAGGTAGTTTAGGGCTAGAACTGGAGACGGGAGGTAGTTTAGGGATAGAACTGGAGACGGGAGGTAGTTTAGGGATAGAACTGGAGACGGGAGGTAGTTTAGGGATAGAACTGGAGACGGAGGAGGTAGTTTAGGGATAGAACTGGAGACGGGAGGAAGTTTAGGGATAGAACTGGAGACGGGAGGAAGTTTAGGGATAGAACTGGAGACGGGAGGAAGTTTAGGGCTAGAACTGGAGACGGGAGGTAGTTTAGGGCTAGAACTGGAGACGGGAGGTAGTTTAGGGCTAGAACTGGAGACGGGAGGTAGTTTAGGGCTAGAACTGGAGACGGGAGGTAGTTTAGGGCTAGAACTGGAGACGGGAGGTAGTTTAGGGCTAGAACTGGAGACGGGAGGTAGTTTAGGGCTAGAACTGGAGACGGGAGGTAGTTTAGGGATAGAACTGGAGACGGGAGGTAGTTTAGGGATAGAACTGGAGACAGGAGGTAGTTTAGGGGGACAGTTATGGTAAGGCTCAGGGTTAAAGTTGAAAACTTGGATATGTTCGGAGTTCAGGGCTAGGTATGAATAAGATTGATGTTGGGTTTAGGTTGAGGTTAGTCTTAGAATCAAAGGGTTAGGGTTACAGTTAGAGCACGGGTGTCAAACTGGTGGCCCTCCAGCTGTTGCCAAACTACAAGTCCCATGAGGCATTGTAAGACTGACAGTTACAAGCATGAAACCCAAAGTTAGAGGCATGATGGGACTTGTAGTTTCGCAACAGCTGGAGGGCCACCAGTTTGACACCCCTGAGTTAGGGGGTTTCTGGGTTAGGCTTAAAGTTAGGGGTTAAGGCTAGAGTCAGAGTTTATAAAAAGATTTTGGGGTTATGATTAATGTATAGAGATCAGATAAAGGATGGAGGAGATCAGATTAAGGTTGGAGATCAGATTAAGGTTGGGGGGGAGATCAGATTAAGGTTGGGGGGAGATCAGATTAAGGTTGGGGGGAGATCAGATTAAGGTTGGGGGGGAGAGCAGATTAAGGTTGGGGGGAGAGCAGATTAAGGTTGGGGGGAGATCAGATTAAGGTTGGGGGGAGATCAGATTAAGGTTGGGGGGAGATCAGATTAAGGTTGGGGGGAGATCAGATTAAGGTTGGGGGGAGATCAGATTAAGGTGGGGGGGGAGAGCAGATTAAGGTTGGGGGGAGAGCAGATTAACGTTGGGGGAAGATCAGATTAAGGTTGGGGGGAGATCAGATTAAGGTTGGGGGGAGATCAGATTAAGGTTGGGGGAGATCAGATTAAGGTTGGGGGGAGAGCAGATTAAGGTTGGGGGGAGAGCAGATTAAGGTTGGGGGGAGAGCAGATTAAGGTTGGGGGGAGAGCAGATTAAGGTTGGGGGGAGAGCAGATTAAGGTTGGGGGGAGATCAGATTAAGGTTGGGGGAGATCAGATTAAGGTTGGGGGAGAGCAGATTAAGGTTGGGGGAGATCAGATTAAGGTTGGGGGGAGATCAGATTAAGGTTGGGGGAGATCAGATTAAGGTTGGGGGAGATCAGATTAAGGTTGGGGGAGATCAGATTAAGGTTGGGGGAGATCAGATTAAGGTTGGGGGAGATCAGATTAAGGTTGGGGGAGATCAGATTAAGGTTGGGGGGAGATCAGATTAAGGTTGGGGGAGATCAGATTAAGGTTGGGGGAGATCAGATTAAGGTTGGGGTCTTTGGAAGGCTAAGTACAAAAGTAGAGTTTAGGGCATTAGACCTCATAGTGGGATTTAGGGTCGTGCCTTTAGGGTTAGGATTAAGATTTATTTTTTCAACTGTACAGGCTCTGGGGCTGTCATCTTCAGCCTGCGTCACCACCTAATGAGAAATGAAGGCAGTATAGGGGTTAAACCTTCACTGGGAGCATGCTTGTCCAGGGTCAATGACTTTCTAAGATGCCCGGACATGGATGGCAGTCCAGAGTTTACACCTTTAAAGCAAAGTTGGCGATGGAAGCTTCCATACATCTATCATGGTGTCCCTAATTCCACTGAAGGATGGAGAGATGGACTGTCCCAAGTCATAAAAGCCTGGACCGCACTAACCTGAAGCTTGAACCTCCATGATGTATTGGTGGAGGTCCTGACCCTGCTGGATCACCTCGAAGGTCATGTTGTTCATGGCTAGTTTTCGCTCCTTGTGCCGCTGTAGCCGCTGTTCTGCCAAATTCAGGTCTTCTGTGTTAAAGTCGTTCATCTGCCGGAGGAGGTCCTCATTCCAAGCGTCCAGTTCAGCCGTCACCTAATGTGGGAACACAGCAGAGACATCAATGCTTAAAGCGGAGTTCCAACTGAAACAAAATAAATAAAAAGTCAGCAGCTACAAAAACTGTAGCTGCTGACTTTTACAATACAGCCACTTACCTGTCCCTCAGTCCAGCGGTGTCCTCACCACCAATCACTTACCTGTCCCTCGGTCCAGCAATGTCCTCACCACCAATCACTTACCTGTCCCTCGGTCCAGCCGTGTCCTCACCACCAATCACTTACCTTTCCCTCGGTCCAGCGGTGTCCTCACCACCAATCACTTACCTGACCCTCAGTCCAGCGGTGTCCTCACCACCGATCACTTACCTGTCCCTCGGTCCAGCGGTGTCCTCACCCCCGAGCACTTACCTGTCCCTCGGTCCAGCGGTGTCCTCACCACCGATCACTTACCTGTCCATCGGTCCAGCGATGTCCTCACCCCCGATCACTTACTTGTCCAGCGGTGTTCTCACCACCGATCACTTACCTGTCCCTCGGTCCAGCCGTGTCCTCACCCCCGATCACTTATCTGTCCCTCGGTCCGGTGGTGTCCTCACCACCAATCACTTACCTATCCCTCGGTCCAGCGGTGTCCTCACCATCGATCACTTACCTGTCCCTCGGTCCAGCTGTGTCCTCACCATCGATCACTTACCTGTCCCTCGGTCCAGCGGTGTCCTCACCATCGATCACTTACCTGTCCCTCGGTCCAGCTGTGTCCTCACCATCGATCACTTACCTGTCCCTCGGTCCAGCGGTGTCCTCACCATCGATCACTTATCTGTCCCTCGGTCCAGCCGTGTCCTCATCACCACTGGTTTCATCGGCCGTCTTCTCTCCCCGGCGCCGGCATCTTCAGTGTGGGCACCTGGCTGGGAAAGCATGCGGCTTCACAGCCGGTTAGCCACTGTGCATGCGTGAGAAGCGCTGCGCTTTTTGAATGGCCCCGTTGTCTTCTGGGACCTGTCACGTGGCCCAGAAGACTACGGGGAGGGAGGACATCTTTCGCTTCCGATCGCCTTAGGCGATCGCAGTGGAAGTGGGAGCGGGTACCTGTCATATTCGGGTAGCCGCTCCCCAAAGCTGCCAATCCTTAATGGGGAGCAGGGAACAAAGCCTTAAAGCGGCACTTCCCCTTTTGGGTGGAGCTCCGCTGCAAGAAGCACTGCGACAGCATTATTCCTTCGCATCTTAAGCCGAGATGTTCACGATTTATTTGTATCTTTCAGTTGAAGTATTTCCATAATACATGAACACCACAATGTGTCTTTGCCTATAGTAGAACACCAGCAGGCAGCTATAAAAACACACATTAATACCGCTCCATACTCATTAATATGATATTAAATGTATTTTTTTTAAAAGAGAAGAGTCCATTTCCAACTTATAATATTGTATATTCTGATTTTTTTTTTTTTAATTCAGATTTTATTTTTACATTTTTCTTTAAACACACATATACAGTTGCAAGAAAAAGTATGTGAACCCCTTGGGATTGCGTGGAGTTTTGCATGAATTGGGCATAAAATGTGCTCTGAACATCATCTAAGTCACAACAATAGAAGAACACAGTCTGCTGAACATAATACTACACAAACATAAGATGATGCCATGGTTTAATTGCACATAACATGTAAACATTCACAGTGCAGGGAGGAAAAAAGTATGTGAGGCCCTAGGTTAATGACTTCTCCCAGAGCTAATTGGAGCCAGTAGTGAGCCAACCTTGACTCCAATCAGTGTGATGATATTGGATGTGTTGCTGACACCTGTTTTGGGTTTACTGGTTTCAAGAAGCACTGTCTGATGTGAACCATGCCTCGCAGAAAAGAGCTCTCAGAAGACCTACCATCAAGAATTGTTGACTTGCATGAAGCTGGAAAGGGTTACAAAAGTATCTCCTTGAGCCTTGATGTTCATGTGTCCACGGTAAGACAGACTGTCTACAAATGGAGAAAGTTTAGCACTGTTGCTACTCTTCCTAGGCGTGGTCGTCCTGTAAAAATGACTGCAAGAGCACAGCGCAGAATGCTGCATGAGGTAAAGAAGAATCCCAGAGTGTCAGCTAAAGACCTACAGAAATCTCTGGCACATGCTGACATTTTTGTTGACACATCTACAATCAGGAAAACATGAAACAAGAATGGAGTACATGGGAGGACACCACGGAGGAAGCCATTGCTGTCCAAAAAGAATATTACAGCACGTTTGAAGTTTGCAAAAGAGCACCTGGATGTTCCACAGCACTACTGGCAGAATATACTGTGGACAGATGAAACCAAGATTGAGTTGTTTGGGAAGAACACACAACACTATGTGTGGAGAAAAAAAGGCCCAGCACACCAACATCAAAACCTCATCCCCACTGTGAAACATGGCGGAGGGAGCATCATGGTTTGGGGCTGCTTTGCTGCCTCAGGGCTGGACGGATTGTTGTCATTGATGGGAAAATGAATTCCAGAGTTTATCAAGACATTTTGCAGGAAAACGTACGACCATCTGTCCGCCAACTGAAGCTCCGCAGAGGATGGGTGATGCAACAGGACAATGACCCAAAGCATACAAGTCATTCAACAAAACAATGGCTGCAACAGCACAGAATACGCCTTCTGGAGTGGCCCAGTCAGAGTCCTGACCTCAACCCCATTGAAATGCTGTGACATGACCTTAAGAGAGCGATTCACACCAGACATCCCAAGAATATTGCTACACTGAAACAGTTTTGTGAAGAGGAGTGGTCCAAAATGACTCCAGATCGTTGTGCAGGTCTGATCTGCAACTACAGGAAACGTTTGGTTGAGGTTATTGCTGCCAATGGAGGGTCAACCAGTTATCAAGTCCAAAGGTTCACATACTTTTTCCTCCCTGCACTGTGAATGTTTACATGTTATGTGCAATTACACCATGGCAACATCTAATGTTTGTGTAGTATTATGTTCAGCAGACTGTGTTCTTCTATTGTTGTGACTTAGATGACGTTCAGAGCACATTTTATGCCCAATTCATGCAAAACTCCACGTAATCCCAAGGGGTTCACATACTTTTTCTTGCAACTGTAAAATAAAAAAACACAACAAAAAACAGTCAATTTAGCTATTAACCTCCCTAGCGGTCTGATTGTGTCCATATTTCTGTGCTCAAAGCGGTACATTTTTTTGCATGGAAATATGTATTTTGTTTATTGTCGGCCTGTAATTTTTAGGAATAACTCCCTGAAATCTGTCCGGACAAGAGTCTAGTGAACATCCCGGGGAGGATAAAACTTGAAACACGAAATCATAAATTATAATTTAATAAATAATTATAAAGAATAATAATATAATAATAATAAATTTAATTCAATAATATAATCAAACCAAAAACACTGAAATGTGAAATATAGCGCCAAGTTCGCACATCGCTGAGCTCAGTCGCAGAATCGTTTTCAGTGTCTGATGAGGAATTTCCCCCACCAATCATTATCACTCAATTCTGCAAGTGGTTCTGATTTACTATCGCTGTTCTCTAGCCGGTCTAAAACCGCGTCTGACCTAAAGGGACGCTTTTTGGACGCCATGGACGTTTCTCAGTTTCCAGGCAGAAAGGGCGGTAAAAATGCAGGCAGGGCGCCGGACAAAGCACTCGGGACACAATGTATGTGAAATGGTTTGATACAGGAATGTTATACTATGTGATTTTAGTGTATTTAGTGAATGTCACTTTTAACATTTTTTTATTTCCCGCCGTTTCATCCCCCGTACGTCCCGATGTTGCAGGGAACGGAACCCGGAAGACGGATGCCGGCATTGGCCGGAGGAGATGGCCGGGGACGCTGCAGGGGGGACATCGCGTTAGCGCAGGACAAGGTAAGTGCAGGGTAATCCCCAGTGTAGCTCGGGGTCACCGCTTTTGGTACTGAAAGTTTACCCCGAGCTACACTCAGGAACAGGGATGGACTGACAACTTATGGGGCCCCTGGGCAATAGGGGATCACGGGGCCCCTGTGGCCTTGCCCACACTCAAAGCACACCCAAAAAAGCATATAAAAAAGGTACCAGGGGCATTTCATTGGGGCCCCTTACTGACCCTGGGCCCTCGGGCATTGCCTGAGTGCTCGAACGGTCAGTTCACTCTGCTCGGGAATACTGCCAGGGAGGATAAGAAAACAACCAACAATTCATACAATCAATAACCCGATTATAACAGAATCCACGACTCCTGAACCGTGTCTGTAGAATGAGGACTTCTCAGCACATCACAGCATGTTCCCCAATTGAAAAAAATGGATCTTGTATGTATAGAAAAGTGTGGGAAATGTAGGGAGTGTAGCAGAGCAGATGAGGGGTGCAGGGATGCACTTGGGGTAAAGAGGGATGCAGAGCAGCGTAGGGGTGCGGGGGATGCAGTTTTAGAGGGGATGGGGGCAGAGTAGGGGTGCGGGGGATGCAGTTTTAGAGGGGATGGGGGCAGAGTAGGGGTGCGGGGGATGCAGTTTTAGAGGGGATGGGGGCAGAGTAGGGGTGCGTGGGGATGCAGTTTTAGAGGGGATGGGGGCAGAGTAGGGGTGCGGGGGATGCAGTTTTGGAGGGGATGGGGGCAGAGTAGGGGTGCGGGGGGATGCAGTTTTAGAGGGGATGGGGCAGAGTAGGGGTGCGGGGGATGCAGTTTTGGAGGGGATGGGGGCAGAGCAGAGTAGGGGTGCGGGGGATGCAGTTTTGGAGGGGATGGGGGCAGAGCAGAGTAGGGGTGCGGGGATGCAGTTTTGGAGGGGATGGGGGCAGAGCAGAGTAGGGGTGCGGGGGATGCAGTTTTGGAGGGGATGGGGGCAGAGCAGAGTAGGGGTGCCGGGGGATGCAGTTTTGGGGGGATGGGGGCAGAGCAGAGTAGGGGTGCGGGGATGAAGTTTTGGAGAGGATGGGGGCAGAGCAGAGTAGGGGTGCGGGGATGCAGTTTTGGAGGGGGATGGGTTAGAGCAGCGTAGGGGCGCAGGGGATGCAGTTTTTGATGGGATGGGGG